AGAAGAAGCAATAGAGGGAGTTGAAGTTGGTGGAATGCTGAAATTCAATATAATGCAAACATAAGCAATAGAAAATAACCAGAGTCTTAAACTTCAAAAGAGTTGATTTAAACAAATTCAGAGAAAACGTAGGAAATATTCCATGAATAAAAATCCTAAAGGGAAAAACAATGCAAGAAGTGTGGGAAACTGAAAAATGTGATCATAAAAGCCCAGTCCAGCACAGTAACACTCAAAAAGAAAAACAAGAAATTCAAGAAGAAACCAGCATGGCTGTACAAAGATCTCTCTGACAAACTGTAAGACAAAAAGGACAAATACAAAAACTGGAAAGAGGGACACATAACTGAGGCTGATTATCAGCAGACAGCCAGAACATGCAAAGATGAAGTCAGGAAAGCAAAGGGTCAGAATGAACAAAGACGTGCAACAGAAATCAAGGATAATAAAAAAAAAGTTTCTTTCAACATATTAAAAACAAGAAAAAAGTCAAGGAAACTGTAGGTCCACTAAAGAGAGAAGATGGCAAGGAAGTAACAGGGAGAAAGCAGAGCTGCTTAACTCATTCTTTGCATCAGTCTTGGTTTCTATAGTTTTAATTTACTGTTTCTATAGTTTTAATTTACTGTTCTTGCACCAAAACGCTAGAGCGGTTTTTCTTCTCATTAAGTGCTGGAATGCTTAGCCCAATCAAGTTATGCATTAGAGATCGGAATGTCTCCAGTGTGTTTACTTCATTGGGAGTTTCAGCCGGAACCATGACACCCATAGTGTATTGGCTCATATTTAAATGATTACTCACTAGGACTCACGAGTCCCCTGGACTGCAAGGCGTTCAAACCGGTCAGTCCTAGAAGAGATCAACCCCGACTGCTCTTTAGAAGGCCAGATCCTGAAGTTGAAACTCAAGTACTTTGGCCACCTAATGAGAAGGAAGGATTCACTGGAGAAGAGCCTAACGCTGGGAAAGATTGAGGGCAATAGAAGAAGGGGACGACAGAGAATGAGATGGCTGGATGGAGTCACTGAAGCAGTAGGTGTGAATTTAAATGGACTCCAGAAGATGGTAGAGGACAGGAAGACCTGGAGGAATGTTGTCCATGGGGTCACGATGGGTCGGACAAGACTTCGCAATTAACAACAACAACAATCTGTTGTCTAGGCATTTATATTTTGCTCATTTCCTTGCCCATGATACCCCAATTTGTTATTACATTATTGGTGATCTTAGTAAGTGTGTAGTAGGACATAATGTGCCTACGTAACTTCAGTGTATTGCCCAAGGGGGTGGGGATATTTATGAAGAGTGTAGAGTGAATATGCTCAAAAAGAGACCACTGTTTTCAATCTATTTAAAACTAAAATAATAACCAACTTCACTATGTTTTAAACTTCTCATAAATTAACTAAATTTTGTGCCTAAAAGTTAGCTCAGCAAGAAAGACCGGGGTTTTTTCCCCCCAGAAAGTTGCATAAGGTTTATGTTCAAAATCTGACAGTTTCTTCCTCCTGTCAGAGAAGACAAGTACAGTATATCTGAAAAAGATCTAGGTATCTTAGTAGTTCACAGGTGTGATGTGTTCACAAGGCTACTGTGGGATATATTCATTAGACTTATAGTCCAAATTGTGGGAAATAATTGTCCCTGCTTCCGCCTTCTTCAGGCTGTTCTTGGAATACTAGGTCCAGTATCACAAAATAATAGGACTGGAAGGGACTTTGGAGGTCTTCCAGTCCATCCCACTGGGCAAGGCAGGTGTCCTTATAGCATCCCAGACAAATGGTTGTCCAATCTTTTCTTGAAAACCTCCAGCAAGGGATCATTCACACCTCTGGGAGGCAAACTGTTCCATTGATTAATTATTGTCACTGTCAGGAAATTCCTCCTTAGTTCCAGTTCTCCCTCTGACAAATTTCTACCCATTGCTTCTTGTCCTGTCCTCATCTACTCTGGAGAATAAATCAACTGTCCTCTTCCCTGTGGCAGCCTTTCAAATATTGGAAGACTGTTATCATATCACCCCTAACCCTTCTCTTCGTTAGGCTAAACATACCTAACTCACTTAGCTGGTCATTGTACGATTTGGCCTCCAGACCCTTATCATCTTTGTTGCCCTTCTCTGCATGCTTTCTAGTGGTCTAGATGCCTCTCACAGGAACTACTGTTGAGCCAAGTACTGTCCATTCTATACATGTGCATATGTTTTTTTTCTAGGTAGGTGTAGGGCCTTACTCTTCTCATCACTGAACTGCATCTAGTTGGATAGGGCCCAACGTTCAAGTCTGTCAACCTCCTTCTAAATCTTAGGTCTATCTTCCAACGTGTTAGCAATTCCCCCTAGCTTGGTATCTGCAAATTTGATGAGTACCCCTTCAATTCATCTTACCTAGGTCATTTATGAAGATGTGGAAGAGCACTGGGCCCAAGGGAAAACCTTGAGGTACCTGAAGGAGATGAATAGGCTAAGCCCAAGGTTGGGGGTAAATGTGTCATCTGTTTGGAATTGTTGTGTGGCCGCAGGAAACCCAAGTCCAGTCCCCTGTGAATTTGGTCAATCTTTATTAAGTGCCAATGTAGCTTGATCGTTAGTAGACCAGATTCGTGGGTAAAGTTAGCATGTAATAAATTTTTAGTGTTTTGAACTCAATTCCTGTACCTGGTCACCTGCATCTATCACTGCATGCTTTCCTCCACGTAGATGTAGTTCCATTGGGGACCAAATGCTAAGTGTGATTGGTCAGCCAACTGCAAATCCTAAAAAAGTTCACACGGTATAAAGAAAGGAATGGATTTGTTCAATATTTTCCCAGATAGTAAGCTCTGAACTAAGGAGTAGATATTGTAAAGAAATAGCTATGAAGAGAAATTTCCTGACAGTCAAAGCTGTTAGCCAATGGCATGGATTGCCTCATCAGGCAATTGGATATGTATCCAAAATGCTTGCAATTCTCTACTGAACTAGTTATTAAGCTTAATTTATTCTGAGATCCTGCCCAAATGTAATTCTAAAAAAGCAAGAACAAGTTGTAAGTCCTGGATTGGGCTCACAACTCACAATTTTTATTAGTATGACACTAGTAAAATTTAAAGTGCTTATATTTATACTCTTGAACCATAAAATAATATTCTGTATAGGTTTTTAAAATATATGTCTGTCAGAATATATATATAAACAAACTATTCAAAACCAAAATATACAGAATTGTGTCATCGGTGGTGTCCTCATGTGTACTGAATAAGTGGAATACACTTAAGAGAAAATGTGGAGTGACCCTAGACCAGGGGTCTTCAAACTTGGCCTTTTGATGATTTGTGGACTTCAACTCCCAGAATTCTTCAGCCAGCATGGCTGGCTGAGGAATTCTGGGAGATGAAACCTACAAATCATAAAAGGGCCATGTTTGAAGACCCCTGCCCTAGACCATATACTTGACTTATAATGTGCTGGTTAAATGAGATTCAAATTTTCGTGGAAAAATCTCCAATTCCCCAAAAATAGCCGGTCAATGTTGGATTGAACAAACTGCAGTTCTCAAGCTAATTTTGTGCCACCCTGTGCTAGAACTCCATGGTAAAAAGAACTCTATGTCCCATCACCAAAGCTACTTGAGAGAAGGAGTGCAAATGGATTATCAGGGAATCCCTCTATGCAGTTCTTAAAACAAAACAGAGAGAGAGGGGGGGGGAGAGAGAGAGAGAGAGAGAGAGAAATATCTAATATTCACCTCTGATATATATGATTTGGTTTCTGCAAAAACCTCTGAAGATTTGATAGGCTAATTTAGGATTCCTTAAACAGAATTTCATTTCTAATGAAGACCTTGGATCTCCTATAGTCCAACTCCTTGCCCAAGGCAAAAGATTTAATTCCATCCCAGACAAACGGCTGTCCAATCAAAACCTCTTGCTGGAGGTTTTCAAGAAAACATAGGGCAATGTTTTCCATGATGAAATAAGATCTCCTGCCTTGGGCAGGGGGTTGGACTAGAACAGTCTTTTATGACTCGTGGACTTCAACTCCCAGAAATCCTGAGCCAGCCATGCTGAGGGAAAAGGGAGAGGTTTCCAAACTGAGCCATGCTGGCTCAGGAATTCTGGGAGTTGAAGTCCATGAGTCATAAAAGAGCCAAGGTTGCCTACTTCTGGACTAGAAGAACTTCAAGATCTTTCAAGCCATATGATTCTATGATTTGCTTGAAAAAGAACTCCATTACAATAAATGGACTATAATATTACAGTGGAAGCTACAGTATAAAGCAGTGGTTCTCAACCTTTCTAATACCGTGACCCCATAATACAGTTCCCCATATTGTGGTGACCCCCAAGTGCGTGTGGCCACCAATAAGAGGGAGTAGGACAGCTAGGGAAAAGGGAAAAAATGGCGGACAGTGTGGTTTGGCGACCCCTGTGAAATGGTCGTTCGACCCCAAATGGGGTCCCGACCCACAGGTTGAGAACCACTGGTATAAAGCCAGTTAGGAATACAGAGTAAGTACATGTTCACCCATGCTCTCCCACAATTTTGGGCCTCAAATGGCCCTATGCCTTTTGTATCTCTCTCCTCCACCCCCAGTGCCAAATATAATAGCTGGAAGATCTAGCTCGGGTTCTCAACTTTAAGACTTGTGGACCAACTCCCAGAATTCTGGGAGTTGAAGTCCACAAGTCTTAAAGTTGCCAAGATTGAGAACCCCTGATCTAGCTGGAAGGGGCACCATTCCACCAGCTGCCAGATTTCTGCTCCAGCTGCTGCACCCACCTCAGATACCCAAGTTTGGTAATGGAGTTTCCCATTACCAAAATCTAGTGAGACTTGGAAATATTGAGATAGGAAATGTAAGACATTTTTGACAGTGATTCACAATGGGTGACCCTCTTAAACGCGTATTTTTGGATCTTGGTTACCTGGAACTGGTCTCTTGGCAAGGTCTTCAAAAGAGGCTGGGGGTATATGTCACTTCCTAGCTGCTGAGCCCTCTTCCTTTCTCATTTTGTCCAGTTCCCAGTACAGCTTCCCCTCCTGTCTCCAGTGCCTCCAATGATCCAGTGGGCTCCTACTCCATTAATGGGATTCTGGGGATTCCTCGATCAAATGGTGAGAAGAGGAAACGTGATGAAGGTAGGGGAAAGCTTTTTCCTGCTTTTATTGGTTCACCTCACTCCTTTGGGAAACTAGTTGGAATCCCAATAAGCTGAGAAACTATTCAGAATAAAGTAGGAAAGCAGTTTGAATAATCATAATCCAGAATACTTTTTTGAAAGCAACTCTCACTCAATCGAGCAGGTAGAGTTCACCTACAAGCATAGCAGGTCGACGGTACATGTTGTTAAATGCTGTATTGAACCAATTTTAACTCTACTGGCACTACAGGTAGTCCAGGTAGACCACAAATTTCCATTGCTAAGCAAGACGTTTGTTAAATGAGTTTTACCTCATTTTATGACCTGTTTGCCCCAATTGTTAAGTGAATCACTGCAGCTGTTAAATTAGTCACACAGTTGTTAAGTGAATCTGACTTCCCCGTTGACTTTGCTTGCCAGAAGGTCCCAAAAGGTGATCACACATCAGCCCAGGACACTGCAACCGTCATAAGTACATGCCAGTTGCCAAGCATTTGGATTTTGATCACATGACCATGGGGATGCTGCAACTGTTGGAAGTATGAAAAATGGTCGTAAGACCCTTTTTTCAGGGCCACTGTAATTTTATGGGAGTCACTTAACAAATGGTTGTAAGTTGAGGACTACCTGTAATCGTAGAAGACCAGAATCTTAGTAGCAGGAAAGGATGTAAGTGTGAAAAAGAGTCCAATCTTTAAAAGAGAAATTTAGTAGGATTCTAATTGGCCCCGTTATTTCAGCGGCCTTCATTCTATTCTACCTCCAATGCAGCTCTATTCTTAATTGTGTATGTCTTTGATATTCCCTGGTTCAATTCACATGATATAAAATACTTTAAATCCAAGTGAACAGAAATTGACTTTTGTGTCCACATAACATGTTGTGCCCAAGCAAATAAGTCTATTCAGCTAAACCAGGGGTAGGCAACCTTGGCTCTTTTATGACTCGTGGACTTCAGCTCTCAGAATTCCTGAGCCAGCCATGCTGAGAGGACAGAGAGAGGTTTCCAAGCAGAACCATGCTGGCTCAGGAATTCTGGGAGTTGAAGTCCACGAGTCAAGGTTGCCTACCCCTGAGCTAAACACAATAGCCTGATACAGCCTGCTGACCCAAGGGCTTGATTCACCTCAGCTGCTGTATCAGAAACAACCTTCCCCGTTCCAACAGATTGTGCAGACTCAGCCTCTGGGTTGCTCAGCATGGGGGTTTTCAAACAACACTCTGTAGAACCCTTCACTTCGGTGGGAAGTCAGTGGAGTTCTGGGCACAAAAAGTAGATGGCTGCAGCCAAGTTTTTATCCTTAGAACAGTGGTTCTCAACCTATGGGTCGGGACCCCATTTGGGGTCAAACGACCATTTCAAGGGGGTCGCCAAACAACACAGTCTGCCATTTTTTCCCCTTTTCCTTAGCTGTGCTATTCCCTTTTATTCTATTGGCTTTTGAAAGCCAATAGAATAGACTCTCTTGAATAGAGTCTAATTCTATTGGCTTTCAAAAGCCAATAGGAATTGTCCAGGCTGTCTCTGCCCCGCTGAGCCCGCCAAAAGTCCCATTCTGCAAACGGTGCTGCACCAGTTGAGTAGTCCTCGACTTACGACCGGTTGAGTAGTCCTCGACTTACGACCGGTTGGGGGTTGCGGCATTAAAAAGGTTGAGAACCACTGCCTTAGAAGGTGGCTCCGTGATCAGGTTCTATTTTTTTTTCTTTCTTTTAAACTAACAGATTGTGTGATTTGAAAATATTTGAAAACCCATCTTGGAAAGCATATGCAAAACAAAAAGGGAGTTGTTAGTGAGGTTATGGAGAGGACAAGTTCTGCAAGGATACATTTTTGAAATTTTTTTCTCCCGGCAATCCTATAAATGAAACTGAATAGACTGAATTTACCTGAATAATAGGGTTGGAAGGCACCCCGATGGTCTTCCAGTCCAACCCCCTGCTATATCATTTCAGACAAATGGTTGTCCAGTCTCTTTTGAAAGTCTCCAGTGATGGAGCACCCACAACTTCTGAAGGCAAGCTCTTCCATTGGTTGATTGCTCTCACCGTTAGGAAATTTCTCATTTCTAGGTTACTTTTCTCCGTGGTTAGTTTCCAACCATTGTTTCTTATCTTGCCTTTTGGTGCTTTGGAAAATAGTTTGACCCCCTCAAATATTGGGACAGTGCTATAATGTCACCCCTACTCCTCCTTTTCTCTAGAGTAGACATATCCAATTCCTGTAACCATTCTTCATATGTTTTAGCCTCCAGCCCCCTAATCATCTTTGTTGCTTTTCTCTGCACTCTTTCCAGAGCCTCAACATCTTTTTTTATATTGTAGTGACCAGAACTGGCCGCAGTATTCCAAGTGTGGTCTTACTAGGTAGTGTTAGAACTTCATGTGATCTTGATTCTATCCCTCTATTAATGCAGCCTCGGATCGCATTGGTTTTTGTGGCTGCTGACCCATACTGTTGGCTCATATTTAAGTGATTGTCCATTAGGACTCCATAGTTACTGGCATTAAGCCAAGTTTCACCTAGCATATACCTATACAGTTGGCTTTTTGCCTAAGATTAGATTAGATTAGATTTTAGATTAGATAACATTTATTGTCATTTTTTTCCTGTGGGCACAAGGGCACACATTAAAAATGAAATTTAGTTGCTTCCTCTCAAAGTGTACGCATAATAACACACATTTAAAACATATTATATACAACATATGTATAGACCTACACCCTTACATATAAGTAACATATGAATATTATTCACTGTCCATCTTGAATACATAACGGAAGGAGGAAGCCTGAGAGTTCACAAGGTTAATACTGTATGGAACAAAGCTGTGACTGAATCTGGATGTTCTGCTTTGGATACCACGAAGCCCCCTCCCAGAAGGTAACAAGTGTAGAACCTTACTTTTATCTACGTTGAATCTCATTTTGTTAGATAGAGCCCAGTGTTCAAGTCTGCCAAGATTTTTTTGGATCTTGAACTTGTCTTCGGAGGAGTTGGCTATTCCTGCCAGCTTATTTTCCTCCATGTGGATGTAGTTCCATTGTTGAATATGATTTGTTAGCCAGTTACAAACCCAACTGGTAGTGGTGCTGTCTATCCCCCATTTTACTAGCTTGCCAAGAACTAAATTATGGTCTACTTTACCAAATGCTTTACTGAAATCAAAGTATACTCTGTCCACAGGATTTCACTGATCTGTTAAACTGATCACTTTATCAAAGAATGAAATATGATTTGTTTGGCATGATCTATTTTTGATGAGCCCATGTTGGTTACTGGTTATAACATTGTTTGCTTTTAGGTGTTTGCAGATTTGTTGCTTGATTATCTTTTCCAAGATCTTCCCAGGTATTGATGTCAGGCTGATTGGTCTGCAATTTCCTAGATCTGTTTTTTTTCCCCCTTTTTCCTTTTTTGAAGATGTGGACCACATCAGCTCTTTTCCCGTCCTCAGAACTGGATCCAAGAACTTTAAAAGATATGTTTCAATGATTCTGAAATCATATCTGCCAATTCCTTCAGAACTCTGGGATATAGTTCGTCAGGACCTGGTGATTTGAATCCATCTAGAACTGACAGGTGTTCTGTTACCTTATTTTTTGCATATTTTAATTTGCATTCCTATCCTGCCATTTATGGTTCTGTTTTTAATAAGTTGAGTAGTGTTTTTTTTAATGTGAAGACAGATGCGATGAATGAATTAAACAGTTATGCTTTCTCTCTACTGTCTGATACTTCTTTGCCATTTCTTCTCCCCTTAGTGAACCAATTGTTTCTTTAACTTTTTTCTTGTTTTTTATGTGTAGAAAGAAACTTTTTTTTATTGTTTTTAACATTTGTTGCAAGTTTTACTTCATTCAAAGCCTAACTTCATCTTTGCAGGTTCGAGCTGTTTGTTGGTATTCTGCCTTAGTTATGCATCCTTCTTTTCAGTTTTTTGTACGTGTCCTTTTTTTCTCTTAGTGGTTTGAGAGTTCTTTGTTCAACCATGCTGGTTTCTTCTTGGTTTTCCTGTTTTTCTTTTTCAGTGTTTTTTGAATGGACTGGGTTTTTATAACCTTTTTTTTCAGAGTTTCCCATGATTCTTGAGTTGATTTCCCCTTTTAAGATTTTCATCCATGGGATCCTTCCTAAGCTCTCTCTGAATTGGTTAAAATCAGCTCTTTGAAAATCTAAAACTGATTTGCTTATGTTCTATTGCTTGTGTCTGTTTTATATTGAATTTCGTATGACATAGTCACTCTCCCCTAAAGTTCTTGCAATTTCAATTCCCTCTATCACTTCTTCTCTGTTGGTAAGAATAAGGTCTAGTATAGACGTCCCTCTGGTTGCCATCTCTACATTTTGGGTGATGAAGTTGTCAGCTGACTTAGTCAGGAATGTGTTTGATCTCCCATTTATTGCAGAGTTTGTCTCCCAGTTGATGTCAGGGTAGTTAAAGTCTCCCATTACTGTTGTGTGTTTCCTACATATCTTGGTTAATTGGTTAGCAAACAGTTCATGTATTTCTTCTGCTTGGTTGGATGACTGTAGTGTATACCTATGGCAATGTCATTCTTTTTTCCTTGTATGTTGACACGTATGCATTCTAGAAGGTTTTCGTGCTTTATTGTGTGCATCTCTGTAGAGAGGAAGTGATCTCTAACATATAATGCAACTCCACCTCCTCTTTAGTTAGGTCTGGTTTTTTTTTTTAATAGTTTGTATCCTTCTATCAGTACATTCCAGTCATGAGTTTCATCCGGCCAAGTTTCTATAATGGCAATTATATCACACTTGCCCTTGTGTGCTAGTATTTCAAGTTCACCCTATTTTTTCCCTAAACTTTGAGAGTTAGTGTAGAGGCATTTAAGCTGACCCTGGGCATGCTTCCTATATCTTCTACATTGCACCTGAGTTTTTCTTCTTTCTCTTTCTTTCCTATGTCCTTACATGATTGGTTAGTGGGTTTTGCTTGGAATTAGGTTCTAAAGGTTGTGAAGATTGGCCACACT